GACGGGATCCCGTATTTTCTACGAGCTTTGGTCGTATGTGGCAAATGGAAATGCTAGGCACCAATATCAAGGTCTCGCCATTCTTGGCAAGACGGTGCTGTTGATGCCGAATGGCGATCCAGACTGTGGCAAATGTCTCGGGAGTTTTGCGTTGTTAGTAATTGTGCCTGAAATCAATGACCAAGCCAAGCATAAATGCCGACCTAAGACAACTCCAAGCGTCGTCTATTGCTTTTTTGAGCTATCATGATGTTATGTAAGAGGTTGTTGTCTTCCCCGCGATGCATGAAGTTCAAGACCGGGAGTTGCATTATCCTTGGCGGGAAAACGAACGATTTAGCCGGATCGGCCAGCGAATCAACTCGTCTGAACAGCGGTCAAAGCAAGTGACCGCCTTTAGCAAAGTACCGTAGCATCGTCCCGCACTGACAGATTGTTCGGGGTACAGTAGCGTAAGCATAGCCTGATTAGAGTGATCAATGCTCTCGTACGGATACGCTAAGGGAATAAATGCACCAATGATTGAAACTGTCATCAATACATGCCTAAAGAACCTTTCTGGGAAACGGCTCGTAACTCATAAGGCAAGGCCAAAGTCTGGACTGATTAGAATCTGAATACGAACGATGTGCATATGCAGGACGCATGACCCTTAACAGATGGTTCTGAAACACAACCTTTGGTGAGTTTATTACCGAATTAGCCTGAATAAACAAATCCCCAGTTTCCCCTGCGTAATTAGAGTCCTAACCTGGGACGGTATTCACTGTGGGGTGCGCCGGCAGTCAATGCTACCTCCTCCCTGGAACAAGGTGGGCTTCACTGTCAAAAGTCGCCATGCTACCAATGCCCTCTTCCCTTTCAAGACTCATTCTTGGCCTAAATGGGATGACCCGGAGCCATGATCCTCCGAAATTGCACCTAGACCGGATAAAGCGAGGCGTTTTGGTTAGCACGTTTCATCAACCGGAGATGAGTACTACTGTACCACATCGGTTCCAATAATCCCAGGATGCTATCGACCCACTATGACAATCAACGCTTTATTCCACCACGCATATCGACGATCCTCATGCAATCTCGCCGGCAAAATTGTCCAGCGCAGAGAATTCTAGAGCAGGGAGTCTGATCGTGGCACCGATCATGAGCAAGTTTGTTCTCATCCATGATAGTCGTGGCACTGTCTCCACCAGACTATCGTGAGCTTAAGCAGGGCTGAAGTGACGCTCCATAAGATATAAAGTGACCCGACGATCCTCTTCCTCCTAGCTTCTATTCTCTCCATCAACCTCAAGTCTCAAGTCTTCAGAGTACATCACAGTCAAAATGGTCTCCTTCACCTACCTTCTCGCCGCCGTCTCGGCCGTCACTGGCGCCATTGCCGCCCCCAACCCTACCAAGGTTGAGGCTCAGCCTCCTACCGGTCTCCAGAAGCGAACTGAGCCTACCACCGGTGTCAACGATGGCTTCTACTTCTCTTTCTGGACCGACACTCCCAACGCTGTTACCTACAACAACGGCCGCGGTGGCCAGTTCTCCATGAACTGGAACGGCAACCGTGGTAACCACGTCGGTGGAAAGGGCTGGAACCCCGGTGCCGCTCGGTAAGTCACCATCTATTTGCCTAACCAGGACCAATACTAACAATACTTCAGCACCATCAAGTACTCTGGTGACTACCGCCCCAACGGTAACAGCTACCTCGCTGTCTACGGCTGGACCCGCAACCCTCTCGTCGAGTACTACATCGTCGAGAACTTCGGCACCTACAACCCCTCTTCCGGTGCTCAGAAGAAGGGTGAGATCAACATCGACGGATCCATTTACGACATTGCTGTCAGCACTCGCAACTGTGCTCCTTCCATCGAGGGTAACTGCAAGACCTTCCAGCAGTACTGGTCCGTCCGCCGCAACAAGCGATCCAGCGGATCCGTCAACACCGGTGCTCACTTCAACGCCTGGGCCAAGGCTGGCCTCCGTCTCGGTAGCCACGACTACCAGATCCTTGCTGTTGAGGGTTACCAGAGCTCTGGCTCTGCCACCATGACTGTCTCCCAGTAAGCTCTTGAGCTTGGAAATGTGATGGAAACAGGCATAGAACTGGAAACATCCGACTTTTGGAAAATACTTTGACCAGAGTTTATGGTTATTGGGCTGGACTTGTAGCTGGACTTCACGCAGGACCTGTCTCTATTTCACTGTACATACCTTTACAAAATGAACATACTATCACTGTCAGCTATGCTGGCTTTTACGCATGAACCGATATTCCCTTCTCTACGCAGTGATGTTTGCATGTCGTTCAATTAACCGTTCAACGTTCCTGGAACTATGCTGGACAGACATCGAGACTGTTGAGTTTCTGTCTGTACGTGACGCCTGACTTTCGCAGCAGAAGGAAAGAAATGGTTGGGCAACTTCACTTATGGGACGGACAGGCTTATCATATTAATCTCAAAAACAGAAGATAGTCCTTTTCTTACCTCGTGTATTACGCATATGACAATAAACGAAATAGGCTCTGGGCGTTTATATCCTGCTTCTTATGTCATGTCCTCCAATCATTCTTTAGCCGACCACGTACGTTACGGTATGGGGCTTAAATATGTGTTGTTAGGCCGTTCCACCATATCCGGATCCGACGAAATCATCGGTTGACGAGAGTTGTAACTAGATGCGGTCTTTTGCTCACTTCCGTTTCCATAGTACTGAATCTTCTCTTTCCAGTTGAAGTAAGGCCGCAGTGATGGTAGACAAGCAATAATTAAACCAATGCAGCAGTCCATGAAACTCCAGAGTTCTGTTGGAAAAAGCTTAGTCAATGATATTTTATGAGAAATAATTTATTCACGAATAACTTACCCACTAGAGCGACCGTGATCACTAGATCCGCGCCATAGGTTTCCACCAGAGAGAAGCGTACCACCGAGAACGAGATATTGACGACACCGAGGCCAAAGGTAGCATATAGACTATACCTCAGTCTTGGTCTCAGTGTAAGTTCGGGAACGACTAGCCATGGTAGTATAAAGACTAATAAGCACGTAATCAGTATTCAAGCCGCAGTGAAGGGATATGATATACACCCACTCAAGATGTCGCCAACGATGTTCAATGCCCACGCGATTTGGAACGTTAGCTTGATGCTCGCAATCGAACAACCTTCCTCCGTCAAGGACCTTAAGAACAAGGTTAGCGGAGCCCATGTGCACATTATGTTGAATAATGGACTGACCAATGTCTCCAAGTCGGCAAACAGATGCAGGTAAGGAGCAATATCGTAGTAGTGTAAGACGCGGCCACGTATACAATCACCGCCCATAGGAATCTTCGTCGCTTTACCATAAAGCTAGGAAAGACTTGCAAGTAAACAGATAATAGTGCTGCTTTTGATAAGTAAAAGGTCGTATGAAATGGATAATCAGCAAAATGATATAACTTTAGCAACTGTTAGCACATCATACGAAAGAAAATCGGCGCCTTCGGACCTTGTAAAAATACGAGGCTTCCTCTGCTGTTCCATTCCATCCGACCAAGCCCAATGTGACTCCTTTCCGCATTGTGCCCATTCTCCAGAAGACAATGTCTAAGGCTGCCGTCGTGGCGGCAGTACACCATCCTGCGCACATGAATAAGTCACTTGCGAGGAGTCGTCGTCGTTGTAGAATGAGTCGCAGGTAAAGTCGAGCCAGGATGACCACGAACGCAATGAAAAGAAGACTCCATTGCACAGTCTGTAATGAATAGTGTCAGTATTGTGCACGCGGCGACAGGACATGTCGACCTACGATAACTGCCCTTCCATGCGGATCCATCATCGTATCCGTGACTGGAGTGTGTTGGTCGGGAACAGAACGGGTGGAAGGTGAGCACGAGTGATGATCGATCAGGGTCTTGCACTTTACATGTTGGTCATGGAGTGGAAAGAACAAATTGCGAAGGGGTCGACGCGCACAGGAGGCAAGACAGAATAATCTACTTGTCACACATAGCTAGGTGACGGAGACGCTTCGTGCTTACATTCCTAACATCTAGCAACATAGCTTGATCGGGGTTGTTGATCACCCCATGAGGCTAGACTTCGAAGCCACATACCAACCCGCCACGCTAAACATTGCCGCCTTTCCCGAAGTTTGCTTGGTTAGCTGAAGTCATAAGCACATCACCCCATGAGAGATTCGCCAAGACTATGCTTCCGGTGCTTACAGCTTATAAGGCTGGAGACTGGGCCGGTATTTGCATGGTTGCACATGCAGTCAGGGTGGGTAGAGAGTGTCTTGGCTGTCTTGTGGCAGGCATCTAGACTATTCGAATAAGAGAGAAAGCAATCAAGTCACTCAATGCAAGGTTAAGTTGATGACCTTGGATTGTTCAAATTTATTACCGTAAACCTAGCTCTCGGCTGCTCGCCATGATGCAATCCTCTGGGCGGCCTGTCAATGACCCCAGACTTTATTTTGAATATGATACCGCGTTTTTAAAAGCTCGCCTCGTATACCCGCATTCCTGACCTCACTCCATAACCATTGAAGGTGTGTGATTAGTAACTGGAGAAGGTAGAGGGGCACAGAAAGTGTAACACTGAATTCACTTCAATACAGCGGTGATTATATAGCTAAGATATAGAAGCCTACATCATTGCATAACCTGCTGCATCTTCTTCATCTGAAAACTCCATTTCTCCGCTTAAAAACAATTCCTTAGACTCCCTCTCGCGAGGATCTAAAAACGACTCTGGAGTGTCTGCCCTGCCGAAAGGCCACTCGACCGTTCCTAGAATCCCCATTCCAGTCTTCCATTCGAACGTCTCGTACACAAAGTCCACCCCCAATAGAGCGAAGGTTTGCTTTGTATCCGAGTCGTACTTGGAGTATTCGAGATCGCATCGGATTTTCTTTAAGCAGGAAAACGTTGACCGCGCCGCTGCCAGCTTTTGAAGTCCGTCCTTGAGGATGGTATAGGGGAAGTCATGAGCTTCTCGGTTGGAGTCAATCAGCGTGAGCGACTGAATAGAGTGGGGGAGAAAATGTACAAGATAACTTGCATCAAGCGTCCCCAAGTCCACAGGAGAGTATATCAGGTTGGTGGATATAGACAGATCCTTAAGCGCAACAAACCCTTTTAGGCTGGCGATTGGACCCATCCGTTGGTGGTGCAATTCCCAGTAATGGAGATGCAATGATTGAAGGGTCGGGCGATGTTTTGTCAAAAGCCTCACGAGGCGACGAGGCTTTGTACAGTCCTTACGGTTCCTACCAAGAACGTAGCCAAACGATGACAATGGATGAGTGCCATGAACCTCAAACATTTAGGAATTACATGATAGTCTTTTGCCGCTATCCGATTAGAGCCATCAGCCACGTGTCCCCAATAGAATAGTGTCCCAGCATGTGGGATCCTGACGGGCTTTTTGACATCGCCGATAATCAGGCTTTGTAGGTGTGGCGATATCTTCACAATTCCACATGGAAATTGGATAGAAACGACTGATTTGAGGTTAAGACTCGTCACACCAAATGCCTCGAGCGCAGTCGACATCATGGACCCTTCGAAGAAATTGTCGTTGATCACGAGAGTCTCTAAGTTTGGAGGCAGGGCAAGAAGAACCATCATAAGCTCAGTGGTGGCGACCTCTTTAAGCGGCGGCGCACATACAGACGATTCACAGTTTTCTAGCAGAAACTGCTTCAGAAACATGTATCGATCTTTGAACACACTACCATTAAGATCATACTCCGCAAACTCAAAGGGCATGGGTCTTGGAATTTCGAGATCTGGGTTGGTGTTCTCGGCCCTCTTGGCTAATATTTTATCAACACCAACGCCTAAAGTTTTGAGTGCCTGGAGGTAGACTCTCCGTGCTGCCTTTATGTCGAGCTGGGCCACCATATCGGAACCGATATTCAGGTATGCAACCAGCCGAGCCAGGTCCAGCCGAGCTGTGATAGTTCGAAGAAAAGGCTCAAGACGCCAGTTCTGGGGTTCAGCGATTGGGCTTCTCAGAATGATGTCGAACTGGTAATGAAGAATAGGTTGTGCAATTTGTCGGATTTGACGCGAGACGCGACTCAGACTACACAGAGTTTGGCGGTGGTAATGAATAGGTCTGTCTACTTCTGAGTTGGTTACGGCCTTGTAGAAGTCAACGATCTTGATGTCATCTGCCCGAAAGATGGGGGTAACGCCTTGACAGTAAGAACAGAAAGAAGAGAAGATGTTGTGTAGGACTTCGGAGGGAAGAGACTCCATTGCGGATGACACTGTTGAGCTGTGACGGTAATGAATCCAATCTGGCATGAAACCTGTTCATTGTTGGAAGAATAACCGTTGGGCGATGTCTCGGTCTGAACTTGTCCGTGGGCAATTTTTGCTCGGGGACATCATTATTCCGGGGACTATTAGTTTCGGCGAGATTCATAGAGGCTGGACGAGTCGATTAAAATTCTTTTCAACTGTGCTGATACTGTCCATGAAATTGAATATATGTGTCAAATAACTTCCAGATCTTGCCATCATGGTACACACCCCTAGCTATCACCGTTGGGTACAGGCTTCTCCATCAATTCCTTCAATTCACCAAAAGCCTTGAGAATCGTGGGCGTCTCAGAAATGATGTCCTTCTTCGTATCCTCGCCAAGATCCCCTGCGCCCGCCAGCCACAAATCCGGGCCAGCGTTGCCATGAAAAGTAAGGGTAGGGCTCGTCTCAGCCACTTGAAGCTTCATGCCCTTGAGTACGTGATTGAGCTGCTCGTTGGCGGATTTTCCTCCGACGATACCATAGCTGATAACCACGACGCCCTTGCCAATACATTCGTTGTACAGGTAGTCAACAGCGTTCTTGGTAGCAGAGGCCATGCCGTGGTTGTACTCGGGGATGACCCAGATGTATCCGTCGTATTTGGCAATTTCAGCGCTCCAGGCGATGGCGTGAGGTTTGGTGAATTTTCCTTTGCTGGGGACCAGAGCTGGCATGATTACCTCGTCGAAGACAGGAAGGTTGAAGTCTGCGACGTCGACAGGCGTGATTTTGGTGTTTTGCGATGCCTCTGCATCGCCAGCAATGATCTCATTGACAAGGCTGGCAATTTTCGGGCCTACTCTGGGGGTTCTTGTGCTCGCTGTAATGAGCGCGATGTTCTTTGTTGCAGCCATGTTGCTGAATGTTCTCAGAGGAGGGTTAAGAAATTGATGTTGGTGATGATTTGGAATTGTAATTCTTTATGATATCGGAATTGTTTGCTCTTATACATGAACAACCCTTGCAACGAGCTCCTCTTCCATGTCCAGAGGACATCTGTATTTCTCATCATATTATAAATCGCATCCTTGCAACCGCGCGCCTCTGTCCCTTGAAAGCCGAAATACACCAAAAGTTCAAACTTTGGCTGAGTAACATTTGCGCGATGGTGTTTTCACGCGCGGCTCGGCATATTCTGGCTTGTCATGCTCGAAGTGGTGGGCTAGTAAGCAGCGTCATGATGGCTGATTGGCCAGAAGGTGCGCGCGCCAAGTCAGACACAAAGCAACATTTTCATGCTCAATATTTTGAGAAGACTTTCGCATCAACAGCCAAAGCTTAAGCTTATTGATTGTGGTTTATCAAGTTATGGTGAGGAGTTTCGTTGCAAGTGACATTTATTTCATGTAACCTTCCCTTTCTTATGTTGATTTGGTCTGTATATTGGGGACTTACGCCTCAGAAAAGCTCAAAAATAGTAACCTTCCCTTTCTTCTTCTGCCGCCCTGTTGTAGTACTCAAGCCATTGATCAAGAAACATATATTGCTCTTCATCCTCTCCTGATCCCTCCAGCATATTCGTCTCCATTTGCTCTTCTAAATCATTCATCATTGGCTCAACTACCAATCTTTCAAAAGCCTCCTCCCCATCCTCACTGACTTCTGGCTTGTGTTCCTGTTGTTCCAGCTCCTCCTGCTCACGCTCCCAGATGGAAAAAGCCTGGTCAAATTCGTAATCGTCTCTATCGGGTAGGGACATGAGATCGCATAATTCGTAGCCAATGGAAACAGGTGATTCTCGCTGTCTTAAAAGGTCAAAAACGTCAACCTCTGGTTCCGAAGCCTCGAGCGCCCAATGACGGTATATATCAAGGGCATAGCCTGGTACATCAGCATCGAGACCATCTTCCTTTTCGAGATCGACTGCTTCTGCTTGGGGATCCTCGCAATCTGAACAGGCAACGTGATCACAGCGTCGGATGGGCTGTTTCCAAAAACTCTCATCGCCGCCAACCTTGGGATATCGCTCATCATCCCAATACGGACATGAAGGTTCACGGCCCTGCCAGAGTCTCTCAAAGTCCTTTCTGCGATAACTTTTGTTATACCTTGGTACCCGTGGATGCATAGCTCTATGCTCACTGATATCATAACCGCATAGACTCAGCGCTGCATCCCAAAGATCTCCTCTATAAGAACCCTTCGATGAATATTGGTTATCGTTGTCATTCGGCAAATATGCACGCATTGATACACTGTGCTGATGGTGATCGACAGAGAGTACATCTGCCCCCTGTCGTATCAGGAACACGAGTGCTTCTAACTCATCTCGGTCCTTGTTTCGATGAGCCTTGTACACAAGGCTGTGGAGACACGTAAATCCTAGCGTCTGATGATCATCCGGTGACCATGACTTGATGACTCGAGCGCTTAGATTCGCTCCGGCACTTGTGAGTATCTCAAGAGCCTTTTTCTTGCTCGTGGATTTTGTCTCTGCCATGCAAATCTGATGGAGCCTCGTCCTTCCATTCAAGTCATAGCTTTCCAGATCATGCAAAGTGAAATGCCTACCGTGCCTAAGGAAGAGCTCTGCGGATGGCTATGACTGGTCAGCGAACCCATCAAGATACCCTTCTGTTGGAGTTCTTACAAGATCAAGACTGCATGCCGTATACAATGGGTTGTCCCATCCAGGATATGAAAGCGTTGGGTCTGCCATGTTTTCAAGGAGCAATAATGTTGTATCATGGCGGTCGAGCCCGGCTATACGTGAAAGTGCAGTACCAGTATTCTCTCCCATCTCGTCTACGTCCGCCCCAGATTCGATCAGAAACTTGCACATTTCAACACTGGCCGTTGCTGCATACTGACAGACAGTTAGTTTTATGCTAGTAATTGGAGATGTAGCGTAAACGTACATGCAGCAACGGCATGCCTTGCTCATCGTGATCACGAAGACTAGCCTTGCCTTCCTGTAATAAGCTCCTAAAATCGTCCAACAAGCCACGTTTTACAAGGTCAAAGACAGGTGAGTCGTTGGGAATAATGCGGCAGACCGATATCCGTGGGATACTTTGAATACTTCGATCAAACAGCTGACCTTGTGACAGTGAAACTGAGAACATCCAAGGGGAGTTTGATGGGCGGAAGACAATATTCGCAACCACATCTCGATAGGTACTTGTATTCCCAGAAGAGTCTTTGGGAGCACCTGAACAAACCCTCCTACGCTTATTCGTAGAGATGGTCAAATAGCCCTGGTCGACATCGATTTGTTCTCTTATACGCTTCTGTTTGATGATGGCGCCTTGTGGCAGGTGTGAGAGAAGCTTTCGCGAACTAGCCACTTTATCTACCGTCAGAAAATCCTCTATCTCACATTCTGGATTGACAGGTACCTGATTTGTTGATGGCGATGATAGGTGCCGAGATAATCAGACCTTCAATGAGCTTAAAATCCCCACTAACTAGTTTGGTACTACTCTCTGCGCCTATACTATAAGCATCAGAAGTCTTTAGCTTTGCATTCGCGACGGACTTTTCCCTAGCGACCACAACGAATCTCCGTAAGTCGTCGATTATCTGCTCTGCATCTTCTGCATCCAAGCTGAGTCCGTCATGGCCGACAAGCGCAGAGAGACGGGATATGCTAGAGTCCAGCTCAGAGCATATCATCAATGCTTCGAGATTATTGACAATCGCGTCGTCTGCGACGTCGCTGTGTTCTTCAATGCCTGGGACGGGTCCGTGACTTATTCGTGCATGAATCCTCGATACTTCATTTAGTATCTCCTCCAGAATGCTTGTGGTTGCTATCGCTTGAGTATGAACTTGAGAAGACAACTCAGACATCGATTGTGCCTGGAGCAAACCGAGGTAGAGATTGATCTGTGTCGATTTGTCTCTGACTCTACGTCGCGCGTTCTCCAGGTCCTCTTTCTTGATATATGCCAGGACTCCTTTATACACACGCCTTGACCGGCTACTCACAGTATCCTGCAAGAACTTTGCAAGGCGACCTTCGATGCTGGACAATTCCGTTGTGCAGCCTTGCAGTGTCTGGGTCAGAGAATCGACTGTGCTGATTGAGGCATGTTGAAGCGTGCACTGCGACAAGCGTTCAAGGATCGACTGTAGGAATTTCATATCCTCCAACAGCTCGATTACTGTTCTCGGGGCGTCTTTGATTGAGGATAGTGACTCGTTGATGACCTTAGCTGACTTGAGCGCCAGTAAGACGAAGGCTAGAGTGCTGGCACCGGCACCGATCGCTTCCATGATGCTGCTCACTTCTGAAGCCTAAATTCATGGTTATTTCAGGTCCAGCGATTGACACACGCGAGGAATGGGATAAGTCATTCCACGGAAGAGAAAATGCCTTGTCAGGTGCCTGACACTTCAGCCGCACCGGCTGTGCATTTTACGCGCCGCCAAGCATTTCACGATTGGTCTCAAATGATGGACACCATTCCCCATTCGTATCTGTTTGATGTAGATCGCTCTGCACAAAAACAAACGAAAATACAATTTTAACCCGGATGTCAATGGCTTTGGTGAGGTGTTGAAGGTTCCTGAAGCCTGGCTTGTAAAGCTTGGAAGGTAGACTTGGTTGCCAAGAAAGGGGTCTTCTTAATATATCTTATACATTACTATTTAAACATTGAGTCTAACAACTAATAGGTCTATCATCTTCAAGTAATGCTCATTTATTTGGCAGCGTCGATGATAAACTCGGCAGCCTTCTCAGCAATACCGTAAACAGCTGTCTGGATATGGGCTGAGATCAGAAGCGGCATAATACTAGCATCAACAACGCGAAGGTTCTCGGTGCCATACACCTTCAGCTTGGCGTCGACGACACCGCCGTCCTGCTTGGGAAGCATAGCACATGTGCCACTAGGGTGGAAGATGCTGAGTGTAGTGCGAAGAGCATACTCCTTGAGTTGCGCATCAGTCTTGACATCGTCCATACCAGGCTCATACTCGTTCTCCCATATGGAACGCATGGGCTCAGTGAGGGCGATCTTGCGGTTGTACTTGACGGCTTGAGTAACGGCCTCAATGTCGTGGGCGTTGCTGAGGTAGTTGGGATTGATGATTGGCTTGCCAGAAGGGTCAGAAGGGTTGATGTGGACGCTGCCACGGCTGAGAGGGTGCATGACGACGGCGATAAGCGAGACGAAGCCCTTTCCGAATAGAGGAGAGGTAGAAGCGGGGTAACCCTTGACACCAGTGTAACCATCCGAGAAGATGACCTCAACTTGAGGGACAGAGGGATCCTTGAGAAGCTCCAGCTTCTTCTTATCAACCTTACTACCGTCCTTACCAACAGCCTCCTTAGCAAGCGACATCATCTTGGTGTCGCTACCAAGAGCCTGCTTCCAGTTAGAGAAGGTGTAAGCACTGCCAGTGTAGTCGTAGAGAGACTCCTTGCCGGCGTTCCAAAGGGCCATCTGCTCAGCAGCAAAGGTGGCGTTGCTCTTGAAGATGTCGATAGAGGTGAACTCGGGCTTGAGCTGGTATGAGGACATGATTCGGAGGTGATCTTGAAGGTTCTCACCGACGCCGGGAAGGTCGATGACCTGCTTGATACCAGCGTCAGCAAGGACAGACTTGCTTCCAATACCCGACACTTCGAGCAGGCCGGGGCTTTGGATAGAGCCGGCAGAGATGATGACCTCGCGGCTGGCCTTGATGATGGTACCGTCGGTAAGGGTGACACCGGTAGCGACAGCCTTCTTCTTGTCCTTGGTGTTGAGGTTGATCTTGGCCACAGTGGTGTCGGCCGCAATCTCAAGGTTGGAACCAGAAATCTCAGCGTAGGCATTGGCACTGTAGGATCGGTTGTAATTTGAAGGGTCGATGCTGCTTGGCTGGTACATAACTCCTAGAGGATCACCCCCAAGCGACTCCAGGTTCTTACGAACACCGAGCTTGTTCAGGGTCGGGATCCATGACTCCTGGTGCTTGGGAATAACACGGTTGATGACGGCCTTGACAGGCCCACTATCGCCGACACCCTTGGAGCCATATGTATCGGTGTTCTTGCCAGTGAATGTCTCAGACTTGGTCATAGCCTTGATCATGGTCTTCCAATTCCATCCGGGATTGCCCAAGCTTTCCCAGCTATCATATTCGGCAGCGGCTGCACGGTCGTAGGTCATAAGGTTTAGGGCAGAGCTACCACCCAAGACCTTGCCACGGTTGACAGGCCAAACTCTATCATTGGCACCGGCTTGGGGAACAGTGGTAAAGTTCCAATCGTATTTCGTACCGAGAGTCGTGCCCTTCAGACCGGGGACGTTGATCTTCGGCTCGTCAAGTGCTGCGGGTCCCGCCTCGATGAGCAGGATCTTCGAAGACGGGAGGCCTTCGCTAAGACGAGCAGCAACGGCTACTCCCGCAGTTCCGCCTCCAACAACAATCTGCCGGAAAAAGAAAAGTCAGTCCGAGCACTTTTAGAACAGAAGAGGGCGGGTGGGGGTTTCATAATGACTGGACTGACACGTTTCCATTACTTACATAGTCATATGCATCTTGAGACGGGGCTGCAACTGCAGCTGCAGCAAAGGCTAGCCACAACTGGGGCTTGACGAGCATGGTTCAGAAAGTGTAAAGAAATGAGTGAAAGATCGACTGGGCGTGACTGCACTGGAAACGACACGGTTAAGAGAACGGAAATATCTGGGCCCTTGGCCATTTATTCATTATCAAATACATTGCTTGAGGTAGCATTGAATTGGATGAGAGGTTTAATTGTTCATGCATGCATGAACAGGTTCTGCGGCGCAGCACATCATTTTTCCGGGGCCCGACATACGAAAGACTTTGCTGTGACAATAGGGAAGACAGAATAGTCTGATCACAATAGGGCTGTCCAAGACACGGTGTATGCTCGCTTATTTACTGCCTGGTCCCACGCTTTGGAATGATACCCTGACGACTGCCAGGGGTAAACAGGCCTGGATAAGGCCACTAATATGGAGCTATCGAAGAACCGCCGAACCTTAAAACCCGCTAAGGAACAATAAGGTTTCTTCGCGCATCAGGGATTCAGGGTATTGACGTTCTCCAACGAATCAGGCATTCTCATCTACAATGACAGCCAAGAGACACAACGGGGACTGCTGGAGCCGTGCTGCAGAATGATCCAAAATTAATTCTCAAAGCATGCAGGCTAAGAGTTTTAATAGTCTCAGTTATGTTATCGATTGCTCTATATCTTCTGGAATACGACACGGACGCATATAGCAGTGGAGGTTTTACTTGATTGAGAAGCTACTGAAGAGAAACACATCTTGGCGACGGTACTGTACAGGCCTTGAGTGCCACAACTGATGGATGATTCCGCCACCATAATATGGAATAATAAGCCCCCTTGTTTAACGCGTAAAAAAAAAAAAAACAAGTCGCACCG